ATGTTTATACTGTCAAATAGTCATCACCCAAGGCTTGTAATTAGCTACATACCTTATGATCAGCAAGTAAGAGTTTAGACTGGTCTCACACGGGAAAAAAAGCTATTTTTGAGGGAAAAGCATTGGAAAATTAAACAGAAATTACAGAATAGAATATCTAGAGGCAGTTTTTAACTAAAGAACTTCTGAAAAATTTTAGACAGGATCTATTAGGCTGATTTCCTTCTTCAGGGGCATTGTAAAACATTATCCATGATACTAAGAAAATTATTTGTTTCTCTTCTTTAGTGTGTTTTAAATGACTGCTGCTGTGCAAGGTACTACATATGCCTGGGGCAGTGGAAGACAGGAGGATAATCAGTGATGGAGGCAGTCCTGAAGGAGATAAGACTGCAGCAACAGTTCTCTTGTTTCCAAATCTTGTTATTTTTTTTACTATGACAAAAGCCCTATTTTTTTAATAAGCCATTTTCTTTTCTGTGACAGTTTATCCAATTGATTGTCTAGAAAACCAACTATAACACAAAATTTATTGTCTATTTATTATGGCTAATATAAAAATAGAAAATTATGAAAACTAAATCATTTATACAACAGAAAATGCTCATTTTTATAGACTCATATAAAGGCACAATCTGTGGTCTCAGCCATGCTCTAATCCAGTCGTTCTCAAAGTGTGGTCTCAGACAAAAAGCATCTGCATTGCCTGGGAACTTGTCGAAAATGCAAATTTTCAGGCTCCACTCCTGACCTACTGAATCAGAAGCTCTGAGGGTGGAATCCAGGAACCTGTTATTTAATAAGCTCTCCAGGACATGCTTACACCTCAGCATAAAGAAAACAAAAATCCTCACAACTGCACCAATACAGCAACATCATAATAAATGGAGAAACGACAGGTTGTCAAGGATTTCATTTTACTTGGATCCACAATTAACGCCCAAGGAAGTAGCAGTCAAGAAATCAATCGATGCATTACATTAGGTAAATCTGCTGCAAAAAAAACTTCTTTAAAGTGTTCAAAAGCAAAAAAATGTCACTTTGAGGAGTAAGGTGCACCTGACTCAAGCCATGGTATTTTCAGTAGTCTCATATGCATGCGAAAGTTGGAGAATGAATAAGGAAGACCGAGGAACAACTGATACCTTTGAATTATGGCGCTGGCAAAGAATATTGAATATACCATGGATGCCTGAAGAATGAACAAATCTTTCTTGGAAGAAGTACAGCCAGAGGGCTCCTTAGAAGAAAAGATGGCGAGACTTCGTCTCACGTATTTTGGACGTTACCAGGAGCAACCAGTCCCTGGAGAAGGACATCATGCTTGGCAAAGTAGAAGATCCTCGAAAAAGAGGAAGACCGTCAATAAGATGGATTGACACGGTGTCTGCAACAATGGGCTCACATATAGCGATGATTGTAGGGTGGTGCAAGACCAGGCAGTGTTTCCTTCTGCTGTACTTAGGATCTATATGAGTCAGAACCAACTCGGCAGCACCTAACAACAACAGGAGATGCTGATGCACACTAAAGTTTCAGAACCACTGCCCTAATCTTGACTGTTAAGCTTTAAATTGATGTTTTGTAAATGAGATTTTCATATTACTCATTCAACCTTGTATACTTTTCACAGGCACTGTCTGCAAGGAGATTTACAGGCAGCTAAAATTCATCTTTCTGTAGTTTTGGAGAAGCCTAATACCCCTTCCATTTCCCATCCTCACAACCAATCATTTTGCTAAGAGTTTTGGTTCTGATCTACTTTTACTGTAACATGTATTGGGACAATAAAGGAAGTAGAGATGCATTTCCCTGGGATAAGCTGGTAGTTCCTATCTAGAACATGATTTAAGACTTCTTCCCATTACCTTTCAAGGGCTTTAAAATATGTCATTAATTACTATAAATACTATATAAATTTTTATATTTTATACGGATATAAAAACTATACAAATACTAACATTACTAGAAATTCAAGCTAAAGATTTTTAAATTGGGATGTTTATGCTTACTAGCTGTTTCAGCTAAAAATAGTGATGTGTTTTAAACGTGTCATAATAGAATAATATATTACTTTTATTTAGACATTGAAAAATAGAAGAGCACTCTGCAAACTGAAAGACTTTCTGAAAATTCTTCTATAATCAGCACCTTCCACATAACAGCATTTAAATAAAGGACAGAAACTCATCAAAAGATACAAGTAATTTTTGTAGCTGAAGTAAACCCCAAAACGCAGTCATAAAAACACTGTTGTTGCTCTTCCTGTGTGCCGTCGAGTCAATTCCAACTCATAGCGACCGTATAAAAGAGTAGAACTGCCCCATTGGGTTTCCTAGGCTATAATTTTCAGGCGAGCAGATCGCCAAGTCTTTTCTCCCACACATCTGCCGGTGGGTTTGAACCCCTGACCTTTCACTTAGCAGCCAAGCACTTAACCATTGAGCCACCAGGGCTCCTTATAAAAACACTATTTTGTAGAAGAAGTTCTCTGGGTTTTTTGTTTGCTTGCTTGCTTTTGAGCACGGAAGATGGAATAAGAAGAAAAAGCAAACGTCATTTCTGAAGCTAACTACATAGCCTGGAACATTCAGGAATGTATGGATTCATAAATCTTGTCCACTCTCTGAAATGTAGAAGAGCTTGACCTCCTAGCACTATATCAATACATCATAAGCAACTGGAGGGCAGGGAATGTGCCTGTTTTTCTTTTCTTTTTTTTTTAGATTTAACTTTTTTTTTTTAAGAGTTGTATCTTTTTTTTTCTTTTTATTGTTGTGCTTTAACTGAAAGTTTACAATTCAAGTTAGTCTCTCATACAAAAATTTATACATACATTGTTTTGTGAGCCTACTTGCTCTCCCTATACTGTGACAGCACACTCTTCCTTTCCACCCCAGATTTTCCGTGCCCATTCAACCAGCTCTTGACCCTCTCCGCCTTCTCACCTCACCTGCGGACAAGAGCTGCTCATTTAATCTCATGTATCTACTTGAGCTAAGAAGCACACTCTTCAGGAGTTATCATTTTATATCCCATAGTCCAGTCTAATCTTTGTCTGAAGAGTTGGCCTTGGGAGTGGTTTTAGTTTTGGGCTAACAGAGAGCCCAGGGTCTTTTCTTTTTTAAAAAACTATTATTATTGGATCCCCAGAGGCATTTAGTAAGTGTTCAATAGTTTTTGTTTTCAATGACTGAATGGATGAATGTATATAGATGCTTGAATGACAGAGCAGGCTCTCTGGGGTAAGGAGTGTATAAAACCAAATGTAGTTCTTAAAATTCCTGAAAAACACCAGACCGCCAAAGGGGACCTCAACTAAAACACAAAATAAATAAAGCCAATCTAACACATATCATTTGGCCAAATAATTCTACCATCGTGAAATTTTTGTAGGCTTCCAGAAGGAGCAATTAGCTTAGTCACTTCTTTAATCCCTCTACCATCTAACACAAGAATATACCACCTTCTAGCTTTCTAAAATTCCACACTAACTTTTCTAGGACATTGGGGTATAATTATATTAATGATAAAATTAATAATCTAAATTATTAACAATTGATAATTTATATTAATTGTATTAATTTCTGTATCATGTGCACATCTTTCAATTCCAATGGAGAGAAAACCCAACCCTACCTGCTTTAAGCCAAAAAGTGAATTTACTGATTTATATACAAAAATATCCAGAGGCAGAACTTGTTTCAGCCAAAGCTGGATTTAGAGCTTAAATATCCCCTTCTGGTTTTAAATTTTTTCTAGCTCCTGGGTCTGCCTCCCTGAGTATTAGCTTCCTTCTCAGGCTTCACACAGTGGCACAAGCAGCTCTAAGCTCACATCCTCACTATGCAAAGTCCAGTACAAGAGTGCTCACTTCCTTAGAGGGGGCAAAAAAAGTCACAGAACTGTATCTTTTGGTCTGATTGGACAGACTTGGACCACATATTTTTCTCTAAAACAATACCCGATACCAGATGGACAGAATGATTCCACTTGTTAGGCCTGAGTCGTGGGTCACCTGGGGTGTCAGAATAGCGGCTGACATCACCCGAAGCAAATAGGCCTTTGGGTGGGCTAGTGGTTGGATCCTCCAAAATAAACGGGGGCACTGTTTACAGAAAGAAGAGTGAGTGCTGGGGAACAAACCTGCAAATGTCCACTACAATTTATCATTATAACCCCCTTCCCCACATATACTTAGTAAAACTTTAACATATTGTATGATACTGGAATCAAAATGAAATTTTTTAAAAGATCGTTCGATTGAGGCGCCTAAACAAACTATTTTGAAGAGCATAATCTCACACCTTATATCCAATTGAAATGTCATTTCAATTGCTAGCCTTCCACTTGTCTTCAAGAGCTGGAACACATGGCCTTTCAGAAAGCTGGCGAAGAGAGAAAAATCCCGGCCTTCCAACTTCGCAGCCGCCGGCCGCCTAGACCAGCGCCGCGGAAGGAACGTGGCCAGAGGCGACTGCGTTGCCTGCACCGTCCTGCGCGGGTGCGCCCTACCCTACCAGCGCCGCTGCGGGAGCTCGGACTCGCTTCCCCGGCGGCGCGTCTGTGGCACATCTTTGGCTGCCGGAACCAGCCCCGCCCGGAGTGGCCGTCGGGACCGGGTGGCCGGGGCACGACGCTAGGGGTCTCCTTGTCCAGGCCCGGGAAACCGGATCGACGGACCTATCCCGGGTCCGTGGACGCCGGACGGAAGCCCCTCCCGCTAGGGCTCCCGCCCCCCGGTCCTCCCACGGGCGGGCGCGCGCCGGCAAGGAGCGGGGAGGTGGCGGCGCCCGCCCGGGGAGGCGGCGTGAGAGCGGGGGCGGCAAGGCCGGGCGGGTCCCGGGGTGGCGGTTCGCAGCCGAGCGAGCGCACGAGGCCGCGGCGCGCCGGGCGCGCTAGCCCCGCAGCCGCTCCCTCCCCGCGGCGCCCGCGCTCCCGGACGATCTCGAATCACTCACCGCCTCCGCGCCGGGAGCCGCGGAAGCCGAGGACGCGGGGACTAAGGATGCACGCGGACGGCTGCAGTCCGAGGTAATCACGCATGGAAGATGGGGCAGGGCGTCCTCGCCCAGAAACGGGACCCGGCAACTTGAAAAGCGGCACCCGTTGCTCAGCACAAGTTTCTCCTGGCTTGCAATGAAGGTGGCCTGAATCGACATTCATTTTATTTAACCATCCTTTCCTCTCCTGTTATAAGTAAGTTTATGTAGACAATGACAAAATAGCCTCCTGGATGACTGGGGGTTTGTAAATACAATCCTGAAAGTTTTGCATGCTGTGGTTGTTTGCTTATGTATATTTATTAACCTGTTAACTCTTTAGCTAGTTAGAAGATTGACATTTAAAATAATCTTTAAAGCACATTACAAGTTCGCTGTTGCGTTAGGGCACCGTGTTATTTATCAGCTTACTTAGCATCTGTCTCTCCCGAGTGGTACCAAAGCCAGTCCCTTGGCGACGGGTCTTGTATGTGACACTCTTGCCCTCTAGTGCCTAACCAGCTTGGTAGCAGTTTGATGGCTAATATTAATAAGGTGTTACATAACAGGAGAGTACAAGGCCAGGACTGGTACTGCTGCCACTTGTAAAGCCAAAAAGCCTGAGTCGATGACAGTGGATACTGCTGTTGCAGATTCTTTATTGTTAAAACTTTCTCAAGCGTTTTCAGCTCTTTGAACTTTAATTCCAGGTAAGTGTATCTATTTATGTACACTATACCCCAATGGCTCATTCATAAATGTAGGGGCTTTTAATAAAAGATAACAGCTTTATTTTCAGTTACGGTTAATCAGTCTAAGAATTTCAGAGTCAATAAGTGCCTAATTTGATTCCTGTAGAAGAAATAGAACATTTTTAGTTAAGTGAAACAAAGGAATCTTTTATCATTCGGTGGTAATTTTAAAGCTTGTCTTTCATAAAAATAAAGCAATAAAGAGGTAAGTTCTTCCAGTTCTTTAAGATCTGCACCAACAACTTGTAATTATTCTTCAGCAGATTGGTTAAACAGATCACATCTCAGTTGCCCTTGATGGACTAGAATTTTGTAAGCAAATCAGAAATTTAAACTATAACTCTCTGTCTGTACAGTAATGATCCTTAACAAATCTTTGTATTTTGACACAATTCATTTTATCAACATTATTTAAAATTATGCAATTAAAAAAATTAAGTGTAACTGGAAATAGCCTACATATTGATTACAGGAACATTAAAAGGAAATAGATATATCTTCCATTTAATGTGCCCACTCTTTGGAAGAACAAAGTCACATTCTCTAAGGGGTTTATCTAGCTCCTCTTCCAACTAGTTCTTCTAATATCTGGAAAGTATTATACCTCAAATTCATTTTAAGCTGAAATGTTGTTCATATTCTTTATAAACGTATTGTAATATGGCAACATATGTAATATGAAACGGTTTTGAGGAAATCACTCCCACACAATGTAAACAGCTACATTCTTATTAGATTAAAATACAGATCCTTAAATATTGAAGCATTGAAACTGATCTTCAATTCACTCTTTCTTTGCCCTTAGAAAATACCATATTATCAACTATTGAACAATGCTGTTCACTACAAGAGAGCAGAATACTGTGGAGGAGAAACTCTCCAACATCTGATATTTAGCTGAAGGGCAATTTTTCCTTTTTCTTCCAGGATAGCGCCCTATCGATACTGTTATTGGAGAAGGAGATTTCAAAAATAAATTTGAAAGAGGCTCTTTTAAAAATAGTACTGAACATATCAAGAAGCTTGCCCTAACAGCAGCTAGTCTTTTTTTTCTCTAGTTAACACAGTATCTACTGTCTCTGTAATATTTTTCTTGTTTTTCTTTATGCTCTTGATCGTAAAAGCAGAAGATTGTTTCCTTGTGTAAGTAAATATTGATTTTAAACTGATCTGATGAGTTGATTTTCTTCATTGTCTTTAGAATGAGGGATTCTCAGTTTACTAAAATGTTTAGATAAAACAAAACTTATCTTTTTTTCTGGAGAGATTTGTTATAGTTTAGTTGAGTTGAGTTATAGTGCAGCCTTCTCTTTTTAAGTAAAATTGCTTGAGAAAATATTGTTTCTGAAGATTGCAGCTAGTATCAGAGTAATTTTTGGTATAACTGAAATGTTTGTTGAAAATAAATAGTAGAAGAGATAACCAGATATTTGAGCAGCTTTTTCTGGACTGTATATTCTGCTGAAAAAGTTATTTTGAGCTAGACTCTAAATATTCCATGGTTGACTTGTCATTTCAGAATTTAAAAACCATAAACATGTGACAAATTTTTCTTTTAACCCAGGGAATCTGATTATAGTACTTCCTGAAGCTTCTTGGTTGGATCTCAGCTGCTCTTTGGTTATTAGTGCCAACTTTAAGTTCAGATATGCATTTGTTGAGGTAAAAAATACTTTCAAAAAGAAAATTGTGTTTAAGTACATTGTGACTTGCATGCATTTTAAAAACAGGAAAATAGAATTAAGGATAAAGACACTATTTTCAACTAAATGAATGCCTTGGATTTCCAATTGCCTAACGGTTTAGACAACAGGAGAAAAAAAGAGGGAAGTTTACTTTCCCCATGCATGCTGTGGTTATTGGAGATAAGTATCCACAGTAAAATGCAAGAACTCGAAACAACAGTACAGATTAGAGGATGCTGCTGGGCCACAAAAGAAAAGTCTGCCTTATAATGATAATTAGTCTGAACAATGCTCAAAATTGTTTTATGACTGAAGTTTTCCTTAGAGTATGAAGAATTGGTTTGAGAGTTTGCTTGTTTGTTTTTAATAAAAACTATATCCTTAGGCTTCTGGATGTCACAAGGAGTGATTTATCCCTTTTTATGTTAACTCCAAACATTTTTCATCAATTTCTGCAAATTACATAACTAGAAAAAAAATCAGTCAGACCTTTGTACAATTAAATATTGTCTATAATAAATAATTTCACAAAAACTCCTACAAGATACTGAGGGCTATAATTCTTGATTGGATCCCTGGTGGCGCAGTGGTTGAAAGCATGACTGCTAACCAAAAGGTTGGCAGTTCGAATCCACCAGCTGCTCCTTGGAAACCCTATAGGGTAGTTGTACTCTGTCCTATAGGATCACTATGAGTCGGAATTGACTCAGTGGTACACCAACAATAACAACATAATTCTTGATTACGTGTTGCCAAACAAGTTTAAAAATCAAGTATTAAAGTCCTATCCTAAGACCTTTAAGCATCTCAGTGATGGGTATCCATTTTGCATACGTTTCATTTTTTAATCTCTTTTGCTTAGTTACAGTGTTTGAATATAGCATGAAAGTAGACCTGGATTCTAGAACTCACTCTGTCATGAAAGATGTGGCTTTGCACAAGTCCCTTGATGGATCTGGACCTCTGTTTCCTCACCTGTAAAATGAAGGTAGCAGAGATCCTTTCCTATCTTCTTTGTTGTCCAACATTGTGGAAATTGGTCAGGAGGATAGGAGAAATATGAGTGAAAAAAACATTAGAGAATAACACAAAACATGACTTGCTGATAAGTGCTGTTGCTTAGATTTTTAGTAGGAGAGATATAAGCTATTAAAATAATAGTTAACACTCATTCCTTGTACCAGGCACTGTTCTAAGCACTTGACATATTAATTTTCAGCTCATGGAACCTTCATAAAGGTTACTTGAGATAGGTACTGTAATTATTTTCAGATGAGGAATTCTCAGTTTTCATACATGAGGAAATTGGAGCACTGAGGAGTTACCTACCTATCTAAGATCACATCTCTGGCAAGTGGTGGAGCTGGAGTCTAGTTTTCAGTGTACATGCCCTTCACCACTGTATTATATTGTCTCTCTACAGGTTTTTAAGTATCTGTACTCGATGATTGCCTCTGATGGAGGCAATAAATTAATGAATTAATAAGTGATTGTCTCTGATGGAGGCAATCCATGTATCACTGCAACCATTTTCACCACCGGTAACCCTACATATGAAATGATCACTTGTTAATTCATTCAAGAGATATTTACTAAGCACCTACTTTTGTGCCAGGTTTAAAGCAGTGCCCAGGATAATTAAATGTGGTGCCTTCCACAATGAGGTATATACAGTCTAGTTTAGGTGATTTCTTTTTCCTCTCCTGACACCCCGATTGGATTGAGTTCTAAAAGTTACCCAAGCTAACAGAGGAAGAATTTAACTGTTGTCTTCATTGATGCATCCATAGAATAGTATAATGGAACCAGGACCTCACACTTCTTCAGGACGCTCTATTGTATTTTTCCATGGCTCCTCTCTGTTCCTGTTGCAACAACCTCTGTCTGCCTCTGCTTCCCAGTTCATGCAACCTGCCTTAAAACATGGCCAGACATTGATCTTGTATGTTTACATCTTATGGTCCATGAAATCAATGAGAGATTTGGCTAACACTTTCTTGTACCCAAGATTCTGTTGAAGGGGGATGATGACAAGGGTTACATTATATTCTCAAGGCTGCATTGGAAGTATTCATAAAAACCAGAAAAGGCAAACTCATTGCTGTAGAGTCAATTCCAACTCATGGCGACCCTATACAACAGAGTAGAATCACCCCATCGGGTTTCCAAGGAGCGACTGGTGGATTTGAGCTGCTGACCTTTTGGTTAGCTCTTAACAACTATGCAACCAAGGCAGTATTCATAATGCCCTGCTATGAGGCATATATCAATATATACATTTTGGCTCAATTTAAGAGAGTTTAGGCAGACATTTTTCCACTTAAGTCATATAAGCAGCAAACAGCAGTGGGATGGGTTTTTTCCTCTGGACTGGCTGGATGGCATAACACTTAAGGAAGTGAATAAAATGTATTCTTTCCTTCATAATTTCTAAATACAAAAAGGGAGGGAACATTGCAGTAGAAAGTTATTTTCCATTTAATATATCCAACAAAGCTGATGCCCCCAAGTGCAGCTTTTCTCCCATCCATCTTTAAAAAATCCCAGTTCTAAAGACAGAGTATATTCTTGGTTGTACTCTATGCAGATCAGCTTCTTACTTGCCTACCACAGCAGGGTTCAATTAACACGACACAATTTCATACATTCTTTCCCTAAGAAAAGAATGTTCTTTGTCAATTTTTAATATTACTAAATTACTTTTAGCAAATTCATGTAATATACTTGAGGCCTCCAAATGCTCTTTTCTGACACTATAAAATATAGTTAATTTTGAGAAA